GCCCAGAGAAGCTGTGGCTGCTCCATCCCTGGAAGTGTCCAAGGCCAGGTTAGACAGGGCTTGGAGCAACCTGGGATACTGGAAAGTATCCCTGCCCACAGCAGGGGGGTGGAATGAGATGGGCTTTAAGGTCTCTTCCAACCCAAATAATTCCATTATTCTATGTCTATCACAGCATAGAAAGGCTTTTCATTACAGTTACTTCTTTTACAGCTGAAAACAGAAGAGTCAAAGCAGTTTTTTTCCTCTTTTCGTTCAAAAGTTTGTCCAAAAAGAAAAAAAGAGCTCTCCCAAAGCATTTTGAATTGCATGGGTATCCTGAGACATTCTCTTCCAAGTCAATAACTGCTAATTGAAAGTATTTTTAAATATCTGTTTTAAGAGACTGGCAGTGAAGCATCTGCATGGGGAAGCTACAGAATCAGCTTCTTTCAGTATCACAAAATACTGGATGACTGCCAGAACTTTTAGATTGATCAAGGGAGACATGCTTCTAGTAAAGTCAGCTCCTTCAACTCCAGACTTTTCAGAGATGTTATATCAGAAATAAACCACAAGCTGTTTTCCAGGAGACTCACCGAGGCTGGGACTGGCTCTTGAAACTCAATGCTCAGCTCGTGGCAATACAGGTAAAGCAGGAGACGTTCACATTTCTGTAAAGCAATAAAACAGCTTCAGATTGATACTCCCAATTTATCCTTAGCACAGAAATTCACACCTCCCTGTTTTAAATAGGTTTGTACTTCAACAGCTTAGTACTAGAAAATTTAGATGCAACCCCCAAAAGCTTAATTAGGAAAGTTACAATTTTTAGGAGGGCAGAGTTAAGAGGCAGAACATATAATGTTCACAAACTTCCTCTTTGCTTTCTTCTTCCTAAACAAAAGCCAAGGGCTAAAATTTAACATGGAGAGGGGCATGCTAATCTACTGCAAATTAAAAAAAACCAAACAAAACACAACAAACTACAGTTCCTTTTACTGCTTTTGTCCAATCACAACCACATGTAACAGGAAAGGACTGAGCTACAGATGTCTCTTTTCCCCACAAGACAAAATTAAACAATCTGAAACCAAACCCAGAGGTTTCTTATAAACTCCCTGTTGAAATATTTTTCTTTGCTTTGCTTGTAATTCCCTTGGAGGAATTTGGTTTGAGAACACTTTACACACAGGCTGATTGATAAAGGTAAAATGAATTCTGACTGTCAAAGCCATTATACCTTCCCCAAAAATCCACTTGCAGCAGCTCTCACAGCTTGGACTTAACACACCAAACTTCCAGAACTATTTTATGAAGGTTACATCGATGCTAAATACCAAAAATTTCTAATTAAGAACATGTTAAATGATGCATTTAAATATAGAATATGTGTTTACATAAAATTTTAGCTACTAAGTGATTACAGTCCCAATGCAGTAGAACATTCCCACAGTCACCAACACCTGGAGATGTGGCCACATCTCACAGCAAGAAAAATCTCATTATAATCATTTTGGGTTGTTTTGCAAGAGCCAGATTCACATTTAATTTGCTGCAGCCACAGCAAAACCATCTCCAAACAGTGGGGGAGAGCTAATCTGAGAAAGCACTTTTTCCTAGGAAGCAGAGTCCTGCAGATTTGAGACCTACCCTTTGGTCCACAGGACTCAGGCCTTGTGCTGTTTTCCCCTTCTTGCTGTGCTGTGAATTGTCACAATCATACTCTACTTCAGGTTTGCTCAGATCTCTGCAGAATGTACAAATCCACTCTCCACTAAAGAGAAAAAACACAATTATTGCAGGTATCCAGGGGCAAATTTTCATCAGGGACTACAAAGATTTTTTCACTCTTACAGATTCACACTCCACTGCAGTAATGACTTGAATAGCCAAAGCTAAGGAATAACCCTTAATGCTCACAATAACCCTGCCAAGTGAAGGCCATTTTTCCTGCCTTCATATTCCTCTCCCAATGATGTTTTAATACTTTACACCACCACTCTCATCTCACCTTAAAATAAACTTCATGTAAGAGTATCACAGTCTGAGAGATCACGTGTTTATCAGCTAAACATTGACCAGGCACAAACAATTCAGGCAGGCATTGGAAAAGTCTTTACTACAAAAGTCTTACTGAAGGTTTTACTCCAAGAAATCACCCAGAACCAGCTGGGGTGGAGCAAAACAGAGTTTTGGCACTATGGACAATCTGCCCCCATGAATCACAGAATCAGCTGGGTTGGAAGGGACCTCTGAGATCATCCAGTCCAACCCTTGATCCAACACCACCATAGTTCCCAGCCCATGGCACTGA